ATATATATATAACCTAATGAGTTTGATGTGAACAATCATTTGTAATGTTTCAACTCCTCCCTTTAACCTTTTTTTGTTCTTTTCCTTTGCTTTCCTCTATGCAGTCATAAATATGTTCATAATCTCCTCRTAGTTAGTCCAAGCATGCAGCAGTTATTTTTCTCTGCAGGCAGCTAGAGCAGCAGCTACCGGGTTGATGGGAAGCTGCAGAGCGAAGTGGCTTCCCTCTCAGCTGCCGGAGAAACGGGCTCATTTGTCTGCTACAAGCTCGGCTTTAGCTCCAATGCTTTCCAGATGTTACAGATGTTATTACCACATTATTGCTGCTGGTAGAGCCCCAACTGCGAAACCAACCACGACAAGGCCGACCTCGGTACCAGCGCTGGAAGAGGTTGACTCAGTGTTGTTTTTGGCATCAGACCACTRAGGTCTCTAAAGGTTTTCATTGATTTATTTGGGAAATCTGAGAATCCAGCAAAGAGAACGTGAAGATTTTCAGTAGCATGTTAAAGCGGCAAGTTTTTCACCAAATATGAATCCTCAGTGCAGCATTAATGTGGTTTTAATAATTTTATACAAAACAGAAAATTCTGGACAAACACTTTCATGTCCACAGCTGTCTTTAACCATCATCACGTCCTCGACTATTCAATTTCAGTTCATTTATATGAAGCCAAATCATAACACAAGTGATCTCAGGACATTTTAAGGTCTTTCAGTGAAATGATCAATAACATCTGACCCCAGAGACCAGCTGACCAGAGTCAGACTGATCCACACCCGTTTATATACGCAATGACAGCTGAACCTTGTGATGAAAGAAACTATGAGATCTAGTTTAAAGTTCCTAAAAAAGCTACTTAAAGGGCGTGCAAAAAGATTTATTTTGTCATCAGTTTGGCCTGGGTGCTCTTTTACAATGTCAAGAGTGAATTCACTCACATGGGAAATTACCACACAATCTATTTTCGCAAACTAAAATTTTAAATCATGACTAATCAAATGATTCACAAGTCGTAAAGTCATGCATTTTTATAATAACTTGAAACATTTTTTTATCAGATAGCTTAACTGTGTATTAACTCCTGAAGTGAACTGAATTTATTGCAAAATGGTAATGTTGGCATTATATATACACATTCACATACATACATATATAATCTTACACCCTCATCAGCATAACAAAAATAAATAATTTAACCCCTCAAACATCAGCTTCATGTTTTTTTCAACAATTTAGCTTTTATCATTTTCCCTAATAAATTAATCGAATCAGCATTTTTACAAAGTATAACCGCTGTCCAAGTTATTCCACAATCTTATTCCTTGAACTGAGGTACATCAAGTTTGTTCAAATTTTAGGTTTTATAAACATTTCAAATCCTTTCAAATTATAACAACTTTCCCTCTTAACAAAATTAGATTGAATATTCGAAGGC